GGGTCCCACTCATAAACCCTCCTTTGGAACCAGGTAAGTGGCATACTGCAACACAAACATGGATGAAAAGTTTCAATTTGTCCTGTTCTTAGGTTCAATAGCAGCTACAGCATTTTTTTAACAGCACTGAAAATTCTCTACAGAACTGTGACACGTGTGATTTTCAATTAGCTGGATTGTTAACTCTCACATTTTTGATACTAAAACCTTTTGAAATGGCTTGAACACAGCAGACTGGACTTTAAATCAGTCTGAAACTCAGTTTCTATAAAATGCAGTCATTAAAACTTAACATCCAATGTTGAGTCACATTTTATATTAGAATGAAACTAGGATACCCTGAAGATTTGTAAAAATACATAAAAATTCAGGAAATCTCAAATATCTTTCCCTGCTTGGCTTCTCTTGTCTTTGTCTAGTCTAACTCTAACCCTCTGAGAGTCTCTCAGTCTTGTTCTCTAAAACTTAAAGAATTATGAATTTCATCAACTGGTCCCTTAATGAAATTGACACCCCATTGAGAAGCTTGTCCTGCAGAAGTTTGCTGATGGATACTTGATGGTCGGTTGCGTTGTGTGCCTGGTGACACTCTTGATGGAGGAGATTGAACAACATCTACCTATTCGGAACCATGACAACAGATGCATGCTGTCTATGCAATGAGGGGGGATGTCTATTCTGTTCTCTATTTTGTTCTCAAACTGATCTCACTTTAGCGGCTCAGTATCAGTATGGGTGGAGTTCCTTTTTCTCCTCCATTGTTCTACCTCTCTGACCTGTCTTCCCCATGTGATGTCTGTGTAATGTCTGTACGGGAGGAAGGGTAAGATGGCGCTGGTTGCCGGCAGCCTTAAACCAATTTCATTCGTGTACACGAGTGGGTGTATTTACCTATGTCCGGGTGTCTTTTGCAGCAGTCTCTTAACATGCTGAACCTGGTGTCGCTCAGTTAGCTCTGCAGAGTCCTGGCAACAGATTCAGACATTCATACTCGGACAAAATTCACTATATTCATAAAAAATTGTAACTTTCTAATCTATTATGAAAAAAAAAACGTTAAGATAGCAACTGACATCGACTTCAACCAAGGCAGCTACTATCTGGGTAGTATTCATTTTATTATCTTTGTATTTTTAATGTATGAATTTTGTTTTCTTTGTTCTTTTTTTAAAATGTATGGAAGTTTGTACTGCAGGCTATTGTTGTTTGCCCTGCTGAAGCCCATTTCAATAGAGAATACCTGACATAATTTTTATTGTAATTATTTTTAGTAAAATGTGTATGTGTGTTGAAAATACAAACTACACTGGTAAGAATAATAGTTTGTGTGATGAGGTAATGAGACTTTTTGTCCATTTTTAACCAATAAATCATTAAGTTCAACTTGAAGACCTTGGGGAATGTAAGTCAAATTTTAATGTAATGTTAACACATCCCCACTCTACACCCTTACAAAGTTTTATCAGAATTTAAAAAACATGTGAGCTATTGTGTTTACAGGCAGAATGGGGCACATGCAAACAAATTTGCTACCAACAACATAATATTCTTGATGGCAGTAATGATGTTATGTTGTACACGTATTTAGTAGGAATCATCACAATCCATGTATTGGTATTTCTGACCTCTTGTTCCATGTGCAGGCGTATTCGAATAGCTTTGACCAGGATGTAAATAAATCGCCCGAAGAGGAAGATGAGGGAGAGCATACGGGGCCACTGGGAAATCACCTTTTGGTATTTACCCAGTATCTTTAAAACCATAAACACAGACAATCATAAATGTGTTCTTCAAAGCTTAATGCACTAGGCAACTTCATAGCTAAATGTTCAGCAGAGTTTGAATGCCTTTAATTAACATGGGTCGAATATTGTGAAAGCTTGATGGACGGTACATTGCTGGGTTTCCTACCTTACCACTGGGACAAGTGACTGTTTCCCAGGCTGTAATTCCTATCCTACAACATAAAAACACAAATGTGTAATACGGTTGTTAATAAAATTAAATCACCCACACATCAACCAGTTAATCTATCTATTTAATCTCCAACTTTTTTTTATTATATTTTGTGTTTTTAGTTCCTTTTTTAAATTAACCATTAGTTTATTTTCGTTTTAGTTTATGAGAAGCTTTAAATGATGTTGTAAAACATGCATACATAGACTATGTCTGAATATTTACCAAAATAGAGAGTAGAGTATTCCCAGCACTGCCCCTGTCATTCTGAATGGTGTGGACAGACAGGCAAAGAAAGGGAAATAAACCAAGCCCACTTCTAAAGCTCCAATCAGGTACAGAAAAGCTGAGGATAACAGTCAGAACAGTGTATCTGTCAACACAATTCTTGGAAACTCTACAGTAAAAAAGTAAGAGGATAACAATGTACCTCTGGCCCAGGATGGAACAGTGAACGGGACATAGTTTTCAGAGAACAGGAGCAAGACGCTGCTTGATACGGCCCCAAAGGCAAAGCCATAAGACCAACGATTACTGAGGCTGCCTACAGTATCCAAAGGGCTGAGGCACAATGATTAATAGAAAAACAACCATAAGTACAGAAAAAGCCATAGTGATGCTGTAGTCATACAGACACAAGTAAATGATTCTTAAGGGATGTCAGTGAAACTTAGTAGGGGATATCCCAAAAAGTTGATTCTGGTCATCTGGACGTAGCGTTTTCAGTAGGACAACGGTTTCGTCACCCATCCAAGTGACTTCTTCGGTCTCAGCTGAATGCAGGTTTCCCCAACGTTATAAACAGTGGTTTTACATAATGACTGAAACTAGCACTACTGACAAACAACGGGCTGACGAGTAATTGTTCCCATTGTTCATCAGTGGTGCTGGTTTCAGTCATGAGAGGAAGAGTGATGAAAACTTTCTCCCACTGAAAACGAAGAACAAAATCAACTTTCTGAGAATTCCTTACCTAGATGATTGCATAATTAATTCATTTTTACACTAATACATTAGTTTAAAACTACAAACTTATGACTGATATTTATGTCTCGTTTTATTGTATAATAAAAGATAAGACACTGACTTGAGGACCCATCTGTTGTTACTACTCCTGTTGACTTACACAACTATAGCAAAACGTCGATCTAGGAATGGCAGTCTGTCGTCAATGGCCAGCCTCTGGGCTCGTTTCTGAAGGAATGACAGCACCCCTGCAATCAACACCTGGATGAAAAGATATCACATCATAACTACTATAATAAATAATAATGTCACGTTCGCATCAACTGTGTGAACAAGGAAATAGGGTGAGCATATGGGTCTCTTAAAAAGGCTTTATTTGATCCTTATATATTGCTGCACCAGTCAGTGCTGCTCACTTATTGTGGCAGCAGTTTTTTTGTATGTTGCTATGCTGTTACCCTGCATTCCCAGTAGCACTGCGCTAGTGCTACTCGTAATCCTTGGTTACACAATACTATGCAAAAGTTTAGAGTCACCCCAGACTTTCTTTTATTTTTTTTCAATGTTGTCTTCAGTAAAAGTGACTAAAGTTACCATTCAAAGTTAGAGTGGTAAGTTTTCTGTTGTGAGCACACACAACACTTATTCATTTCTTGAGTTAGGTGACAGTTTCTGGCTTGTATTTCTGGCCACTGTTGGGTGGTATAGTAAATATAATCTTTTTTTTGATAACGTAGTAATTTAACACATTACTTGCATTACAAATATTTTTCAATTCTCTACAAAAAACGTTAGTAATAAAAAAAACACCCCACCATGGATAATAGACATCTTTTGAATAAAATAGGCCTGGCTGAAATTAAGTTGGGACACTACATACTTGAGTTGTTCAAATACAAATCAAATTTCAATTATTAAGGGAGTTTCTGAAACTCTGCATTATTAATATGGTCTTATTATAGGCAGTGTTGTAGTTGACCATGTCTAAGATGCAGTTTTAATGAATGAATAGCTTACTGCTGGTATGAGTGAAAGATGCAAGATTAGCTCCACAGACACTCTTTGGTGACAATCCTCATCCGGGGAGACCCTGGAGACACAACGATACTATGAACACAATGTAACATAATGCACTGTAACACATGACAAATTAAGGAACACCTAGTTTGTTCCCTTTTGTTCTGCTGAGTACAAATTAATTTGATAGACTAAAAAGACACCAACAGGACAGAGCCTATTTAAACTAAAGTGCTGATCTGAGTGGAATAAGCCTTGCAAAACCTTACCAAAGCTTTACTTACTAAATCAGATAGAGATAAAAGAGCATTTAATAAAAAGGGTTCATAGTGCACTGATAAAGTCAGTTCAAGTTCTGTCCCTATGTCTTTGTTTCAAACTCCTAGAATCAGTTTGTAAACTCGATCGGCGACAACAATATACAGCTGATTACAACAGTAAGTAAAGATCTGTAATGTAACACATTTAACATTTAGTGTTTAAAGTTTGTACTCACTCATGTTCCAGCAAGTTTCTAATCATCTTTCGATAAGTTGGTTCATTACTGTCCAGAAAACTTTGTTTCTGCTGTGCTGTAAAGATAAAGCAGGCTGTGGAGTGATCCCACTTCTCCTTTTCCTGGTTTTAGTCATGTGACTAATATGAAGTTGACCTTTGGCCTCAGGACTCAACACTTTTATAACTCTGCTGTTTTACTGTCCTCTGTGTTTTTTCTTTTTTCGTTTGGTCTCGCTCTTTGTCTGTCCAGTCCTTCCTCTTTCTGTCACTCTTTCTGCCACACACATACACTATCGACCACTGTGTTACTCAGTGAAAGGAGTGTAAACAGTTAGCTCACCCAGTTAGATAACCAAGTGTTCATTCACCTTGTGTCTTCACTTTACAAAGGAATCTTACACTGATTCCTGTCTCTAAATAACAAATCTCTTCTGTCTTTCTTCTATTCAGCATTGTCTTCACTGAAACATTTGTTCAATCTTTCGTCTGTTTCAGCCTCCTTATTATTGTCTGCTTTGGTGAAATGTGAATTTGGTGGATAACAAAAGAAAATACCCCAAGCACACTGTTGAATGATATTTATTGATTGCGGTAAGTATTTAAAACAGTTGGAATCATTTCACTTGATTCTGATTGGGCCCTTGACAGTGACTTCACCAGGTGTGGAGGTCAGCAGCTCTGCTCTTTGACAATCATAATGTCCACCTTCGTTGATCTGATAAGAAAATAATAACGACATGACTGGGATGATTTCTGTCAAATGACTTTTAGTTTAACATATGATAAAGAGTGAAAATGAGGTCATGTTAACTACAGGTCACATTTCATCTGTGAACAGAGATAAAATGTGTCAGGAGTTACCGGGTCATGAACAAACAGAAAGAGGGAGAAACAGAGACAGAGATCTTGTTTTAAAAGAAATACATCATCCTAAAATAGCATTACTTTCCTGTAGCTAAATCTGTCTGTCATTTGAGGAAGATTCAAGCCTATATAAGAAAATGTTTTATTTTAATCATTATCTGATAATTTAAAAAACCCCTCACATTACCGCAGCATTGACTTTATTTATTTTACTCAGACTCACAATATTCCCTATGTAAGGATTTTATCTTATCTTAATCCTATCTTCTATAGTTTTGTCAGTATTTTTGGCAATATTGAATAAGAGCATTGCTGCTAAATTACCTGTTCAAATGTAGAACTTTATCATTTCCCATGATATAACTATTACTTTCCTAAAAAATCACTAACATCTACATGCTTATTACTCGTAAAAATGAATCAAGAATGACCTGGAAAGCTTCATTATTTGAATCATGAAGCAATTATTTGTCTAATTTATTTTTTAATTTATTTTTTACAAACAGATGGATGTGCAAGTATTATATCCTCCTTAATGCAGGCTTGGGTGATGTTGAAGTAATGTGTGAATACTGGGAGTGTAGAGCAGCTGTGTGTACTCACTGTCTCTGGGCACACAGCTGACACTCATTTGCATAAGTGTTTCCATCGCTGCCACATACAGGAGAGAGGTTCAAAGGACACGCCACAATCTCTGCCGTGTCAGGACAAGTAGGCTGGCAGAAAGGTAAACATTTGTCATTTATTTTCTATAATAGTTACAATAATACTAACAACATTTCAGCAACAAAGCTGTAGCTTCAGTTAAAACAAATCCAATTCCTGAAATTACTCAAATATAAAGTTTCTATTTAAAAATATGTCACCTTTCTCATGAGTCCAGACCTCTCTTCTGCACCTTAAAAAAACCCAAAGAAAACTTTAAAAATATATATATATTAAAAATATTTCATATAATAGTCAAGAAATAAAGAAAGGCCAAAAAAAAATTTGGCCTTCAAAGAAGTAACTACGCTGATTCAAACTGTGCACTAGAATGAGAAACTACTACTGCTGTATTGTTAATATGTAAAATGTTCACTAAGTGTATGAGTGCATAGAATTTAATAACTAAAGTAAAACTGACACACCTGACATAACAGCCCCATATTGCAAAATGCGTATGCATATGTAACCAAGTATTCTGTATTTCCTATTTATAATGAAGTCAACTTAACTATACTTTACAGAGATATTTTGTCTGTGACATTTGACTGTTGTTTTTGGTGATCAGTGTTGAAGCATAAACCCTTCAACTCAGTGTTGTAAAACAATAAAACTTCATTATGTCAGTGTGCTTCTACAACTGCAGCTGCTCCCCAAACTAACTAACCCCGATCTAACACAAATATAATTTCACTTAAAAGTACCCCACATACAGAAGAATGATTGTTTGTTTAGAATAGAGGGCTTTTCTTTGTTACCTGCAGTCATACAGATGAGCAGAAGTCCCAGAAAAACAACTCTCCCAGTCATGATGTTGGTGGGTGAATAACTCGGAGTGACAGGAACCCGTGAGTATGCTTCTCTTTTTAAAGGCAAATAAAATGTGTGTGTGGTGGGTGTGTATACGTGTGTGGGAACACAGCAGATGAAAATGGACACACAGACGCATGAAATCTCTAGAAACTTAGTCACCAGCACACATTAACCCACACACCCAAACATAAACTGATCTTTTGTTCATCCAGTAGCTACAAACTTCCATGTGACAAGCCCACCCTTTTTTTCTTTTTTTAATCTAGCACACAGGTACTGTGAAAGCAAAGTCAAAGTAATCACATCGTGAACCTTTTTTTTTTTGAAAATGTATGAATTTATTACTGTAAAGAATAACTATACATAATGGGTAACAACCACAAACGGCCATAATACTTAAAAATGTAAACAAATAATAATATTGAGCATGAGAAGAGAAAAATCCCTACCTTAGTACTGTCTCGCTCTCTCGTTAACTTGCTACTATCTCTGCTTTTGACTATTTCACTCATTTCTCACGATCACATGTAAGCCTTTGTTCTCTATTTCAAGTTTCAAACAAATCGTTTTATGCAGTGGATTAACTTTGTTTTGTCTGTATTCCAGTGCAGAGATTTGTTTTTACATGTCTCTTTTGCCATGATTTCCACTTTAAAATAGTTGAAATAAAAGACTATACTAAACCTATAAAGTGCTCAAATTTAAAACAGGGGTTTGGTGGGATAGGGATCAGACCCTTTGTGTTGGTAACAGAGTCAGCCCCAGAGCAGTTATCCCCGAGATATTGGAACCCCCTTCCGAGATTCCGCGTGAAACAGAGCACCTGTTATCACCTTAACTTCTGAACTATAAAGCATTACAAGCAAAAGTATTAATTGACATGGTCCTCGATTTTAGCCTGGCTTACTGACTAGCTCTTATAAACAAAATATCTCAACAGCTTGTCCTATATCAGAGCTACTGACAGCACAGATACCTTCAGTGTGGCAGTTTATGGACGTGGACAGAGTAGAATTTGGCAACATGACCAGAGGATAGAAAGAACTTGCAGTCTAAATAAGACTGAATGAGAGCACAAGTTTGTTTCACGCTGTTGACAATGAGAATAGGAGGATTTTGACTGAGCTGATGGATAAAAGCACAACACAAACTTTAAAAAACATTTGCCTCCTCCAGATTATGCTGGTTGGTTAAGGATACATATTCATCTTCATTTGGCACAGATACTGTTTGTTCACTCCACTGGTAACATCTTTTTTTTTCGACTTGACGTCACAAAATTGCTACTGTACATAATATCCACATCGGCACTGGCTCAGGTCTGAAAAGCTTCCGTGGTACCCTCGCACTGATGTTTATAAAAGCACATCCTGGTCACACTCAGATCTGGCGGCATGCTTTGGTACACAGAAAAAAGGCCAGACAGTCCAGGTGTGTGGCCCATTGGAAAGCATGCACTATATATTTCCATTTGACTTTCAAAAATTCTTCAGTAATCCTTAGCCCTCCTTTGTCCGAACAGGACAGAGTGAGTAACAACAAGCCAGCATAGCAGACTGTACATCTTGTGCATATAACAAAGAACCACAAGATTTTTTTTGTTGTTGTTGTTGTTTTTTCACGATGAAGGACACACTTTAAAACAAAACAGTCAAGTTTCTCTATACACACAAAGAAATTGGGCTTTTTTTGTGCTTTGATGCATGTTGGTATCTGTCTTATACATTCCTTGGCAGCCTACATACATTGTTGTTTTAATGGAGTGCTCAAATTTCTGTCTCCACCAGTTTAGGCACTATGCTGAACAATGTCAAGGACACCAAATACGACAAATAAAAACAAAACAACTTGGTTAGCAGTTCTTAATTGTTATTTGAAGAAAAGTAACTCTGTCAAGGTTATGTTTGCCTGGAGGAATTAAATTACCTTTAAAAATGTAATTAGTAAAAATTACTATGCTGATGATTGCACATTTGTGACTGAAAGTGGATTGTAAAAGCTTTTTTTTTTTAACCATCATTTGATATAGAAAAAAATCCCCCAAACTGCGCTTGGTAATGAAAAGAAATCTAGAAAGGCTTGACCCTGAATAAAAAAGCAGTCAGTCTGTTTTTAACCAGGTTAAAAAGGTTGAACAGATTTAACAGCTGGCAGTGACTGATCCAAATTTGTTTTTTTATATCATCCTGATTTCTCCATACAGGCAAATATATTAACACCCTCACTGACCACAGCTAACTACTTTAGGAAAGGGGTTTAAAACTGAGAGATCTTCTGCCGTTCCCTGGGTCTTGCCCATTGAGTGGGTAGCTAGGCTACACATGCTTTCCAGTCTAATACAGCATTAAAATTCTGCTGTCAGTTCAAGTGTTCTGAGTCTTTCCTTTCTTTCTGTCAATCTAGTGAAGGAGAAGCACCTGTCTCCTACCCTCACAGAAATATCTCGTCATCTTAAACATAATTATATATATATTTCTTGCATTGATTTGCATTGAGCTTTCATTGTTTCAGTGTCTGTCACAATACCTGCAGTCTCTGCCTTTTCAAGAGGCTGTGCATTGAAATGCAGGTCCACTGAGAAATGATGACAATTGAAAAAGACTAAAAAGTAGAAAAAAAAAATGAACGCAGTCTGTCTCCCCAGAGTTTAGTGGTCCATCTTTTCTCGGTCGTGGGGAGGGTGGGCGAAGCATTGCAACTCCCACAGATGGTATGTTGTGGAATCAGACACAGCTCTCCCTGGTCTTGTTGTCTGTGAGAAAAGAGTTCAGCTGGGAAATGTCCACTACAACAGCGTCCCGCTTGCTCAGATGGACATCTTTCAAGTGGTCCTCGTCACTTTGGTCCTTGGCAAAATTTACGAACACCTGGAAAAGGAGGGCGAAGAAGAGGAAAAACAAATGAGCATGCTTAAATTGAAGTTGGATGTTCATAATGATTGTTTGTAAGTTTGCTTACTTGGTCTAAAGTGGTCTGAGAAACAGAGTAGTCCTCTATGCTGAGAGCCTCTTTGTTCTTTGAGAGCAGGGAGAAGATTCGGGCGAGAGAGGTGAGGGATGAGGGAAGCTGGTACTGGAGCATGTTGCGGTGCTTCTCCTTCAACGTGCTCCCTGGTAGCTCCCTTTCTATGAAGTCCATTACTGGCCTAAGGTCTGGGTCTGGTCCCGCCACCCGTAGGATGATTGTGTAGCCATCTCCAAATCTAACAAGTATATTAAATATATATACATTCAGTTTTTTTCCCTGCTATGGGGCTGAAGACCAGTCTTTCCTTCATATGAATCATTACTGCAGCTGACAGAAATACAGAATCAGGATTGCTGCCATATATAGTCATAAACATAAAATAATACCATTAATCTTGCTAAAAGTGTAAAACGACTTTTTGTGAGCTACAATGTTGTGAGAGGTGATTTTTTTTTTTTTGTGGTCTGACCTGTTTTTGAGATGCTGCACGCTGCCCAGACAGCGGAACCTGCCGTTGACCATGATGGCCATCCTGGTGCAAAGAGCTTCACACTCCTCCATACTATTACAAGACACATAAGAAAAATATTCATAAGGGGGGAATTAGAAAAAAAAAAAGAAAGAAAAAGAAAGAATGCCCAGGTAAACAAACACATGGAACGGAAGGGCCTGTCAAACCTGTGAGAGGTCAGGACTACAGATCGCCCCTCTTTGATGATGCTCAGGATGGCGTTCCAGAGAGCACGACGTGCCTTGGGGTCCATGCCTGTAGTTGGTTCATCCTGCGAACATGTAAGAGCAGGTACTCAGCTGCTGCTACACAATCATATTTACGAGACAGTTCACTGACTTTAGGAGCTTTAACATTCAGCAATGCTTTATTATTATTGTTATTATTAGTTTCACTGACCAGAAACACAACAGGTGGTCCTCCTATTAGAGCAATAGCAGTAGACAGTTTCCTCATATTTCCTCCACTGTAGCTGCCAGCTGCCTTGTCCACATACTTCATCAAACCCAGTTTACGGATGCCCCAGTCTGCCACCTAGTGGAGGGTTAGAGTTTTGCGTGTGTTAAACTGTCTTCTGGCTTAAACATGACACATCATGGCTGAAAGTGTTATCATTATCAGGTAAAGCGTCTAGTTGAAATATAAAATAGGGGAAAAAAACCCAAACAAACAACAACACTGCACAAGTAGAATTATAGGTGTAGTTTACGTGTAAAAGGCAAATATGTATCACGTGTGTATGCTTGTTGCTGACCTCACAGACTTCCTTCTCAGGCACTCCTCTCAGGATAGCATAAAACTCGAGATGCTCTCTGCCAGTCAGTAGGTCATTGATAGCATCAAACTGAGGACAGTAGCCCATGTTCTGATGGACTTCATCTATCTCTGTGGTTACACTGCAGTAAGAGAAAATAGATTAAAGTGGTTTTTTTAAGTGATATGAAGAAAGAAAAAGAAACCTGAAATGTAACACCTTTTCATGAATTAAGTAGTGTTGTAATCTACATAGTGTCGTATGATATGACGTCTTTTCTTGTCTCTCACCTCTTGCCAGCCAGGTAGGCCTCGCCACTTGTTACCACAGAATCTCCTGTCAGCATTTTGAAGGTGCTGGTTTTTCCTGCTCCATTCACCCCCAGCAAACCAAAACACTGCAGGAAAGAGGAAGAATATATTCTACTTAATATTTCACATTCAAAATGCCATTTGCTAATCCTTAACTGAAAAAGAAATTACTCATCCTCATATGTATAAAAGCTAAAAGACAGCAATACCTCTCCAGGAGGGATGCCAACACACAGCCGGTCCACTGCTGGCTTCTGTTTACGCTTGTAAATCTTGGTGAGCTGTCTGAGCTCCAGGATGTCTGACTGTCCTCCACCGCTGAGGATCCGCTGTCGCTCTCTTGCCACATCCTCGTCTTCCTCTCCGATGGGCTTCAGATGACTAGTGGATGACCTGAAAGTTACGGAGGAAAGGAGTTAAGTCTGAGTGTTGTGATATGGAGAACAAAGTTTAATGCATTTAAAACAGAATAATCACATGTATGTAATAAGTTTCCCCCACCTGGCCTTGAAGCAGAAGTGATACTGAATGAGGACGGTTATACAGAAGAA